AATTGAAGTTGCTCAGCCTGGCATCTGCCCTAATTGCTGGGAATGCCTCCAGTTAATGAGAACTATATAAACTGTTGTGACTCCTGCCATTGTCACAGTCTCTGGGCAAAGGAAGCAGCTAAACACAAAGACTAGCCACACAGCTCCCTCCCTGCAAATGTCTAGTGGGCAAAGCCACTCAGAGCCTGATGATATTGTGGTACCTCCTCAGCACCTTGTAGCTCTGCTTTCTCATGTGTCTTCACTGTCAAAGGGGAATGATAACCCCCATTTTCAGTGCTATCAATGCTCCAGGCAGACTCTGGTATCTCTCCTAGCCTCTCTTCACACAAGCAGGGCTTTGCCCCTGGGGAATTATCCCAGACCCCTGGGAGTGCCCCAGGTCACCTCCTTCTCTGTTGCTTCCCATCACCCTTGCCTTACTGGTGCTGGATTGCTAGGAGAGCGCTTCACACTCATCAGAAAGACAAAGCCATGTGGAAGAGCAGCCTACCATCCCCATGGATTTTTACCTCTCCCTGTCTTACAGCTAAGAGCTGAGAGTCTCTAGTGATTTGGAAGATAAGTGCCTCCTGTGTATCAGGGCAGCCTGCTGTGTGGTAATTAACAACTGGCAAACACTAAAACACGCCTTTATTCCCTGTTTAACAAGTTCAGTGGAAAATGCTGGGCACATCTGCATCACCACGCTGTGATTTGCCACACGATTGCCTGTGTACATGCTGATAACTGCACATCGGTTCAGTTACCCCTGTGTAGTAGCTAACAGGAGAAATGGCAAACAGCACTAATCCACCTGCATCCAAACCAGCACTCCACACAGAATGAGGAATGATCAGGGTACAGAAGTTCATTTGGTTTTCTTTAAAGATGGTGTATTTCTGCAAAAGAGAAACTGGCTGTAAACACTGCCCTGCCAGGAATTCACTTCACGTCCGCACTCTCAGGAGCTGCTCAGTTTGGAAGCAGATGCTTTAAGCCAGTGGAAAGCTGATGTCTCTTCCCTTCCCATCCATAGGCTGCTTCTTGGTTACGTTAGGTTGTGGACGATCAGAACTGACAAATGACAGCTACATTTGGATTTATAGAAAACCAGCTTTGTAACATCAGTTTTAACACTCTTTTTCATTGAGGACCCACACATTAACTTAGGCTGCTAAGGTAGATAAATTTGACAGGACGAATTAGTGAGGAAAGAAATACAAGCTGGAGAACTCCCAACAATGCACAGTGAAAACTAAAGAGAGAGATTTAGGACAGGCCAGGACTTGGAGGGGAAAACACTCATCTCAGAGAAAGCTGGTCTGTGGGGAGAAGCAGTCTACAGGCTTTCCTGTGTGCCCAGACAGCCACATGGCTCCAGTTCAGTGGGAGATACTGATTTCCTACACTACTGGCTTATTTCCAAAGAAAATTCTCTCAGCCAAGGACTGTCCATTTTTATACTGGTTGAGCAAGCCTGATGCAGCAGGACCACAACTGGCCAGGAATAAACAGACACCATCTCCTGCTCACCCTCAGAAAGCCATCACACCCCCACAGTGCTTCTCCCATAAGCTGCACGGGCCCTCGAAGGCAGGGCTGGAGGAGGTTTTACATTAGATGGTCCCATTTCCCTGCCCTTCTGCCAATCTCCAGTTCCAGCCAAGAATGAAGTGACTGTGAAATGGTATGGAAAAGAAACTCTTGTGACCACACACACCAATTTCCCCCTTCCCTAAGCACCTGCTTTCAGCAATCCTCCAGCCCTGCACATCCAGACAAGGGACATCCAGAGAGAGCTGACAGATAATTTGGCTTCCTACAGCCAAGACCTCTGAATCCTCACCATGGACTAAGAGTCTAGCTGTGACAAAGATGCTGGCTCTCTCAAAAGTACAAAAGAAAAGTATGTGTCAACAAATGATGCTAACCCATCGGAATAAGCTTTCTTAACCACCAGAAATAAGAATCAAGATCAAGACTTTTCCCCCTGTGGTCTAGCTTCTGCGAACAGTAGCAAAGGATAAGTCACATCTCACAGGAAAGAATCCTGTCCCCACTGAAGCTTGTGAGAGATCTGTTGTTTTGTGGGGATGTCAGATGTCACCTCAAAAGTTAAATCCCTCCAGCTGTCTTCTGAAGCCCTGACTGGGAAGGATATTTCAAAAACCTAACATGAGAAGCCATCTCACAGGAAAAAAGCACAAGATAACCAAGCTTCCACTGAATGGAAGAAGTGGTCAGAGTTTATTGTTCTGTTCCTGCTAAACAAGAAGCAAAAAACCCCACCCTCTCAGCCAGTTTTCAAGTTTTCCAATAAGCCCTCAAAGTCTACCTTTACACTGTCAGGAGCTGTACTAAAGTTAAAACCAACCAGACAAAAAAAACCTGTGCAAGAATAAAGGTTGAACTGTACATTCAGGACTGTCCACGCCATGTTTTCAGTGGCTAAACACAATGGTGCAGAATGCAGTTTGAAATGAAGCTAGCTTTAAACAGCAGCAATCACTATGCTGTGTGCCCCCCATCTGAGCATCTGATTCTGATCTACAGGTTTTGCTTCTGCCTCCAAGAAGAGAAAAACAAACAACACAAAAATTCTGTCCCCTGGCAGCAACTCAATGTCTACTCTCTCTTTTCCTTAGCATATTTCAGAACAAAATGAGCTGCGAATCCCGCACCAACTTATAGGAGATTATGAAAAATGAATGTGGGAACTATATACTCTGAGCCCACAGAGGAACTTCCAGTTATGAAACTGGTTCTGCTTCAACACAAATAACAGCCTGAGCTGCCCAGCATTTCGAAAACCTGTGTGAGGAGGCTGCAAGTGCTGCACGGTGCTGCCTTTCTCCCCATACCTGTACAGTAGTTTCCATACCCACTCTGTGTGGGACTACTGAGTGGGAGGAGTGCTGATCCTGGTGCATGCACTTTTCACAGGGTCCCTTGTGCCTCTGAAATCCTGCCTTGTTGCAAGAGCCACAAAAGTTGGAGGGAAAGACAATTCTGTCATACACCAACTTCATTCGCTGTTGTTTAATATCCTGGGTGCAGAGACATGGAATAATTACACCACATAACTGATGCTTATGAACAGCTGTGGAAGCGAGCACACAAAGTACCATCATAGCTAAGGACAGGCTGGACAGCCCAGGTTTTTAATGTTCATACAGGGCTGAACACCCGTTGCCTGAGAGTCTGGAATTTGTAGGATGTCTGTGGTACCTAAGGAAAGCTCCACAATGCTGGTGCCCAATTGGAAGCATTTTCAGAGGTACCCCAGAGTATGTTAACCTGCATTTTGCATCTGCTAGCAAAACACAAGCCTGCAGGCTAGAGGAAACCACACTGGTGGGTGTGTCTGCCCACAGAATCGGAAACTGGAGGCATGAAGAGACAACAAAGAGCAAGGGAAGAAAGGGAGTCTCAATTAGCAAAAAGTAGCTGAGAAGAATGATGAAGACAGAGGCTTTTTAACCACCAAAACTGAGTTAAGGAGGGAAAATCAAAACAATAAAAAACAAACAGCACAGGTGGAAAGAGAAAGGGGAATCTAATGCTCCTGTTTTTCACTGGTTCTTACGGGTCCCCAGCTGAACCTGCCCCTCCAGAGAGGTCACAACGTCCTGCGAAATCCTAGGACCGAGCAGAGAGGCTAAAAGCATCCTAAGCTCTAATCCGCAGCCTGCCTTGCTTAAGAAAGTACAGGCCCATCCCAGTCAGGCGCCGAGTGGCAGCCCTGGCACGGGAGAGCAGGGGAGACGAGGAAGCTGGAACGCTGCTGGTACGCTCTTGTGGTATCCTTCAAGGATGGGAGCAGAGTTTGGTCTCACTCACGGGGACAGCCCCGGGCACTCCCTGAGGAAGCGCTTAAGCCACCCCCTTACAAATCGTGTGGTTATCAGAAAGTGTAAGGTCCATCTGACACCCTCCCACCCCTGGTCCCCAGACTACAGCTGGGGCTCTCACTGTGCCCAAGGTTGCACCCTGGCTCTCCCCACATCTGGAAAGAGGACTCCTCTTTCTTCCACACCACCAGCTACAGCAAGCACAGATGCAAGAAATCTGCTATTTTGGTCTGCAGGTGCTTTCATGCACCTGAGCCACTGGCTGGCACTAATGGGCAGGCTCAAGCAAGCCTCCTCATCCCAGTCCAACGAGTCCTCCTGCAGTCTCAAGGCATTATCAATCCCCTGGCAGCAAATATTTCTCTCTGTTGAGGCAAAGAGAGAGATTCAAAACCACTCAATCTCAGGAGCTCCTGTTTTTCTTTCCCTCAGCCTTCATACTCTTAGTGGTGAAAACCTGACCCAAAGTCCCCCCGAGGTGGCTCTCCGTGACCACCATCACACACAGGGTCAGGCACGTGTGAACCAGAGAACCTGTCAGGAGGAGCTACAGCAAGCTAACTAAAGCCAACTTGATGTAGGGCAATCAAATTCCATCTAGCTCCCTAAAAAGACAGCTTCCCCTACTCAACTCGACATGGAAAACTGTTTCTGAGCTAAAGATCTCCCTCATCACCAAAACCTGCTCACCTTACACCAGACAGAGCACAGCACAGGAGCTCTCTATCCCTTCCTAACCATTTGCTGATGGCAGCCTGGGCAATGTGCAATGCAAGGGCTGCCCGGAGCTGCTGACCCGGCCCGGGGCAGACACCCTGGGGCATCTCCACCCGATGCATTCAGGTCTCGGCAATCCCCCGGCAGAGCGACGGGGGAGCCCACGAAGTTGCCCCAAACCGGCTGCCGCTACCATCACTCGCTGTCCTGCAGCGGTGCCATGAGAGACTGAGGGAAAAGCCGCGGCGGCCGGAAAGCGGCACAAGCATCCCCGGAGCGGAGCGCCGGGGCTGAGCAGCGGCACTCCCATGCCGGAGGGATAGAGGTGGGGAACAAACCCGGCGAGGGGCTTTAACCCTCGACACTTGGTCTCTGGCCGGTCCCACCCCACAGCCCCAGTCACAAAAGCCACAACCCTCGGTCCCACCGGCGCGCCCTCCACCCGCTCACCTCGGAGTAGACGTAGAGGGGGAGGACAAGGAGGGCGAGCAGCAGGTCGGCGACGGCGAGGCTGACGATGAAGTAGTTGGTGGTGGTCTTCAGCGCCCGCTCCGTGCAGACGCTGAGGCACACCAGCCCGTTGCCGCCCACGATGAGCAGGATGAGGACGATGCCCAGCACCAGGGCGGCGATGTTGTGGCCGCCCGCCGGCAGCAGCGGGAGCGCGGTGCCGTTGCAGGGCACGGCCCCGGCGCTGCCGTTCCCCATGGCGCCGCGGCGCAGCCCCGGCAGCCCGGTGCATGGGAGCTCCCTCGCCGCGGCCGGCCCGGCTCGGCTCGGTTCGGCTTCCACCGCCGCCAGCCGCTCTCAGCCCCGCGGCGAGGCACCGGCGGCGGGCCGGCCGGCCCCAAACTTTCCGCGGAGCGGAGAGGAGGAGGAGCTGCCGTGAGACGGCTCCACCCGGCTCCAACTGGGTCACCAAGCGGCTTAGGGGGAGGCTCCCGGTGTCCCGGCCCCCACCCCGGCGAGTCGTGGCAGCTCGTCCAGCCCCCCTCGGGGGATGCTCTTCGTGGGACCAACCGCTGCTTGTCTTGCCGTGGTGAGTGCTGGCAGTCCGGGGCTTTACCGAACAATAACAACAACAAAAAGCCGGGGATTAACGCCTTGCCCTTCGCTGCCAGATTTGCCACAGCCTCCAGCGGAGGAGTCCCCTTCTCCCAGAATTAGGCTTCACGCTGCCTCTTGAGCAGGAGGAAGAGAGCAACTCTCCACCGACACAGCTAAAATTTCTTCTTTGATTAGCTAACCTACTCCAGGTGCAACAGCAACTGGTATTACCGATTTGGTGCTTCCCGCCCCAAAGCAGCGGTCAGTCACTCCCTGAGTGATAAAGAAACAACACAACATTTCCTTCAAAGCTAAAAGCGATGATAAAACCAAAAGACTTTGCAGTGGCATGTTTTAGGTTTGGTTTGTTTGTTGGGTTTTGTTTGTTTGTTTGTTTTTAAAATTGGGTTTATGTTTTGTTCTTTCACTTGAGCTTATGGTTTGCTTGACTTTTTTGCATGTCACATGTCGGGCTATTAAGTGACTCCTATTGTAAAAGCAGCATAGCAGGAAGATAAAAACCAAGGACTGGTTCTTCTACAGTGAGATTTCTGTACATTGGACATAATGTCTTTATTGGCATGAGTCTGACCACATGTACATGACTCGGAAATAGCAGAGGCACTGGCCCCACAAGCACTGTGTTGCAAATGTGGTAGATAGACCAAAGGACTCTTGGGTCTTTGCTGGACTCTCACAAAAAGGGAAAAAACCCAACAAGTAAGTAACTGTTTAGAGTAGAATGTTGTTTTAAGTCAGTGTGACCTAAAGGTATTTTACCCAGGAGACTCAAAGCAGTAACATGGACAGTGACTAGAGAAATCAGTGTCGTTAGCTTTGATCTCTGAGAGCATCTGAAGGACTGTAAAGTCTCCAGAAAATGGCAAACACTGCCTATTTTCAAATGGACAGAGACAAAAAATCATGACGCTAAAGAGCAATCTGAGTTGCTTCAATCCCTAGAATGTAACAGAGCTTGTTTGTTTCTGTGCTAGACCTAGAAGCACTTGTAGATACTGGGAGAAATAGTAAATATCATGTATCTCAATTTTAGCTCTAGCTGCAGTCTTGCATGACATTCTCTTCAACAATGTGAGAGCAAAGACTAGGTGAAATTATTACAGGCTGGGTGAATAACTGGAAAATTGTATTCTAAGATCTGTACAGAACCTGGTAATATTTACCATAATTGACCTGGGTGAGGGTCCAGAGCCCACTAATTAAATTTGAGGATGCTACCAAGACAAGAGAGGCTGTGAGCATCTTGGAGCACAGAGTAGGAATTCAAAATGGTCTTGGTAAATTGGAGAAAATGTCTGCCAAGTGCAGGATGAAATGCGAAAGGAATTTTGCATCTGTCCTGTGCTTGGGCAGGAAAAATCAACTGCAGAAACGCAGGATTGAGGAAACACCTGTATAGGCAACAGGTGTGGGAGCAAAGGTGGCATAGCAGGTCACACACTGAACACAGGGGTTAGGATGTTTTACTGTTAAAAATGAGAGGAAAAAAAAAAAAAACTAAATCCTCCACTAGGCTAATGGTGTTTGTGAGGCACCTGTGCACCTGCAGTCCCAGACATCCCTCTGTTAGCCACACTCAGTCACCTTTCCCAATACTTATCATAATTTTGTCAACTAAAATAAGAGACATTAGTTATGATTCCTAGAGGTAGGGTTTAGGGTAGCATTTCTCATTCCCTTGGACAAACACATCCTCACTGCCGTGCTACAAGCAGAAAGTACTACTGCATGTGCTTGGCCCTGACACCACTTACTGTGCCTGTTTAACTGATTAACGACTGGAGTGACTGGTGTGGGGAACCATGGTGCCCCTATTTGGCCCCTTTGTATGTGCCCCCTACACCCCCTGCCATGGCAAAGGCACGTCACTGCATTCACCCCTGCACAGACGGAGATGAGCTCGGTGCAGTCTAGCAGAGATGGAGCCTGAGGCTCGGGCAGGACAGGGGAGCTGTGACACCCCCTGCCATTTCTTACCGGGATGGCTTGGGAGATGTGGGACCTGATCCAGACTCAGTGGGCATCTTTCCAGCTGTGCTACCAAACCTCAGATCAGATGTTAAGGGCCAGTGAGCCATTCAGATCAGCCTGGTGTTTATGGAAGATAGTGGGAAGAGAAGGTATAGCAGGAAAGGGTCATTTACACTATGTGGAGGGGGAAGACTACATTATTGGCAACTTTTTATAGGACAAAAAGCTTCTCAGAGTTGTTCATAGGCTCCAGCTATCAGAGTTTCATCTGATCTATTAAGAGATTGGTGGAATAAATCCTCTCTCCAACCCCCCACCCTTGCTTCCCCCAGTTCTCTTAGTCTTTTTTGAAAAAGAACATGATTAACCCTCAGCACGTGCAACATGGAAAAGCCAGAGCCCTGTTTTCAGCCATGGGGATGTAGTCAGATCTAGGAACTGTCCTTTCCCTACAGTGGATTAACAGCACTTGATCCACACAGTCTGTTTTACCCAGCTGCCTTGGGCTCCACAATTTCATACATGTGTAGGAGAAAATTACCTTGGTTTAAGTACTTTGCTGGTAATCTGTCTTGCCAAACACTGTCTCCAGAGGTGTGGCTTCCAAGTCTTTTATAAAGACAGCAAGAATCACATCCCTTTAGTAGCTACTAAGTTGTATTATTCCTCTCTCTCATCCCTGATGTAGGTTTGCCATCCTCGTGTTGATCCCAATACCCATGGATTTGTCTAGTCATATCCCTCTTCCACCTGACCCAGCTTTGACGTACACTTATATCAGTACGCAAAGACCAAGCTCACACTTGGTTTCACTTGTGGGTACTCACATGTCTTCAGCTCTGCCTGTATTTCTATATTCCTTTGAGAACAGTTTGTGTTGGACTCGTGGGCACAAGCACAGCTGCACATCCGTCTGTGTAAGGAGAGCTCATTTGGCCATATTCTCATCTGCTGTGAAGTTCTGGCAAGGAGATACATTTTATCCAGTGCAGTGAACTGGGACAAAACCAGTATTTTTCAAACTGGTATGTCTTGACAGTGTGAGTTTCCTCAGTGGTTTCTATCACCTGGTCACAGGTTTTCTGGTCTGGTGGTTGGTCCTTAAAACCTAAGTGCTGGCACAGTTGCTGCTGCCACAGCCTTCACTCAGTGAGGAGCAGGTACAGTGGAACCACTTTTACTAGAGCCCTTTTACTCCAACAAATCAACTCAAATTAGCCAAAGGAGGCCCTGAAGTGCATTAATGAAACTGCACTGAAACCCTGTGTGGACAGAACACCCTTAATTTATTTATGTTTAAACTCCCTGAGCAGCAAAGAGAGCAGGATCGAATTGTGACTGCAGGCCTTCTGCCTTCCCACAGGGATTAGTGCCATTTATCTAGTCCACTTTAACAGTTAATTTATATTAATTATCTTGATTTTCCCTGTGGGTTAGTGCAGAATGACTCTTAATTCTCAGTGTGGAAGCCCTTATTCGAGAATAACAGTGCCTTAATCCTAAACTAGTTTAATCCTGGTGTGGATTAAACTAATGTGAAATAAGGTTTTTGACTTCCAAAAAAGAGCAGCCATGCAAAGCACTAATTAGGACAGCTCTTCCATTGCAAGATCACAGGCTACAGTAATCCCTACTCACTGTTGCTGAGTCCCACGGTTCCTCTGTGTCTGCTGGCTGCTGCTCTGCCCATAGCGCATCCCTTGGCAGATACAGCCGTTGTAAAACACATCCTGCTAGGCCAGCTCCTAGCTGGCCAACTACCATGGGCTGGTTGATTTGGCTTTGCTGTGGGAGTGTCTCCAGGGAAGCACTGAATCCTGGAAAGCAAAGGCTAGCAGAAATGCACCCTTTTTTTCCGTTGGCAGGTATAAGCATTAAACACAGTCCCTTTCTTTGATAAGAGGAACTGTCCTCCTAGCGGAGGAGAAGGAAGGTCTGTAATATATCAACACATCCAAAGAAGTTATCTCATGTCACTGCAAGAAAAAACAGATGACAAAGGACAGAGTCATTGGTCAACCTTGTGGGAAGCAGGAAGAGTTATATGTCAAAGTGATGGACAGTAAATGCTTAAGAGCACCTTTGGAGAGTGTCTGATGTGGTCAGTGGTTTTGAACAACCCTTTTTTGCTTGGATGCTCAGCTTGCAGCATGTCCTGGTTCCCCCGTCACACTGTGACAGCCTGCTGGCTCAGGGCAGGTGGGTGGAGAGGCTGTCAAAGCCACCCACAGCTGCTTTTTTTTTTTGTCAGAAAAAGTCTTATTCTGTCCTAAGTAGGTGCTATGAAGGACAGAAGGTATGAACAGCAGCGGCACCTTCTGCCAGCATGGACACCCCAGCCTAATATAAAAGAGTGCCTCAGTTTCCCCCTTATAAACTGGCAGACTGGTCCCCCAGCCACATGTCTGTCCATACACCAGAGATGGAGTCTCTATATAAGCCCGTATCAGTGCTTGTCAAATATGGGGAAATGAGACTCTGATACCCAGTACCTCTTAGGACATCTGCCTTTCCTTCTGTGCCATGCATCTGTGACTGCAGCCTGTGGCATGCAAAGACTTTGCTAGAGACGGCAATGTCACTGTTGCTGCCCTCCAGCCACCTACAAGCTCAGCTGTCAGAGACTAGCTCATGGCAACACAAGGAAAACACCCATTTCTTATGCAAACCAACAAAACAGTGGGAGATCTGCCTTTTCGGTGTGTTTTGGAGTGTGTTTTTAAAAGAAACTCAGGAAAATGAGCAATGCAGTTGGTTTGCAGCAAGCCTCTGTTTGATGAACATGGCTGAGGTTTAGCTGGACCCCAAGAGCCAGCCAAGAAGCCGGGAGAGGCCCTCAGAGGCTCCCCCAGGATGAGTTAATGGAGGATTTGATTGCGAGCCAGTTCAAAGGATCGGGAAGGTCACAAAGAGAGACATCTGTCAGAGTCTTCCAAAAGACATGGAACTTTTATCACAGTAGTTTTT